ACCTATTTGTTTGCACACATTAAATAAATGTTTTATATACAAAATATGTTTAAAATTTGTAATAAAAAAAATAAAGAGCTAATTTGAATTTTAAAATATTGTTTTATAATAAATTACTGTCGAAAACTGGTTCACACTATGGAAAATAAAAATTAGTACAAACAAATCCAGCCACATTACTTTCTYCCTTCGCCCAAACAATTGTCCACYAGTCAAACTTTGTAACCAATTATTACCTCAAACAAACCAAGTTAAATACTTAGAACTCATTTTCGACAAAAGGTTAACTTGGAAAGACCACATATTTGACAAAAGAAAGAAACTAAACTCCAGATTACATCTACTACGTCCTCTCTTACGATCAAAATTAAACCTTAAACTTAAAATCCTTATTTACAAAATGTTGATCTTTCCTCTATGGTATTATGGTATTCAAATTTGGGGTAACGCCGCCCCAAGTAACATTCAAAAATACAATCATTCCAATCCATCTGCTTTTGCACTATTACAAAAGCCTCCTGGTACCTATGTAAGTAACAAAACCCTTCACTCTGACCTTACCTGAGAATAAATTACGTAAACCAAGTCACTAAAACTGCTTACCAAAAACTCCACAAAAAATTTAGCTCCCATAGAAACCCCAACATTAGTTATCTTGCTTCACAACACATCCCTGACAACCCCCCACGAAGGCTCAAACGTAAATGGGTTAGAGACCTCCTCCATTAATTAATAAAATACCCAAGTAGGTAGCTCCATTGGGAGCCCTCCTACATCGTGCCATTTTTCATGTTATGTAATCCTCTTCATCATTATTACTTGTTGTGCTTAATTGTATAGTTGTATATTTTCTTAATAAAAATAAAAAATAATAAATAAATAAATAATAATAAATTACTAAGAATTTTAGTAAGTTTATAATATATAGGTCAATACAAATGGGCCTCCGTGTACCGTGTTTATAATTTCCCGGGCCGAATTTTGATCCCAATCCGTCCCTGGTGACAACGTTATTTTTTCCAAATTAATTGTAAAATATTACTATAACCTACTCAAATTTTCATTTTTTTTTCTGCTTTATTAATTATTACCAGGTATTTACTATTTATTAATTTCAACATAATAACTAAATATTCTAAATGATTAGTATATTATATGTTACGGGCAATGTGGAATACTTGCAATACYTAATACTATGTCATTATGTCAATGTGATCCTGCCCGAACAATGTGAACCACGATATGTTTTTTTTTTACCAACTAATATTATTTTTATTATAAATTATAATTTTATTATTACCCATTTATTCGTTATATTAATATGATATATGAATATAATTAACTATTTTTTTAATTCAGTCAATATTATTAGTTGGTAAAAAAACATCGAGATTCACATTGCCAGGGGAAAAAAAATAAAAGTATCACACCGTAACCACATGTAAGGCATATACAATATACATATTTTATACAAATCTATTAATTACATTAATTTGTGGTCCCGGAATTTCCCTCAGTTAATTATATTCATATATCATATTAATATCATACATAAAAATATTTGTGATATTAATATGATATATGAATATAATTAACTATTTTTTTAATTCAGTCAATATTATTAGTTGGTAAAAAAACATCGAGATTCACATTGCCAGGGGAAAAAAAATAAAAGTATCACACCGTAACCACATGTAAGGCATATACAATATACATATTTTATACAAATCTATTAATTACATTAATTTGTGGTCCCGGAATTTCCCTCAGTTAATCTGGTTTAATTGTCCATCAATTGTCAAATAGAAAAAAAAACGGTTGCACCTATAGATATACAACTTACTGTGGTGGAGGGCAACYATTATTATCTATTTTTATACAATATGATACTATGTTGAAACGTTGAACAAACCTAGAAAATTGTTTATACATTTCACGATTTCACATATGAAAAAATATAAAATATCTGTCCCTATGGATCATTTGCTTGTAGACAGTAGAGTAGTAGACAATACAGTGAGAAACTTCTAGATCAAGTTTCACTCGCAGAGAATCTTCTAGAAACTCACCATGGAGGCAACGCTGAAGTGGTCGTAACTTATCAATTGTATACGGTTGATAACCCGACTGATAACGACCAACAGGCCCATTGGTTTTATTGCGACACATTCCAGATTTCCAGTTCAACATTGAACAACAAGAGTCAACAACAATACGGCACCGGATCTTAGATAAACAATCATCAGTTTTCGTTTTCATAATATTTCACTTTATTTTTCTATTTCTACCAGAACACATTACTGCAGTGTATYTCCGGCGGAGATTTAATGCTTCTGGTGACCACGACTGCAATTCGGACTAAGAAGCGTCTTGTCGCCGGCAGGACATCGACTGAAACAGCTGCTGTTACTTGTTTTCGGCGGTAGTGAATACCTAACTTGTGTCGACAAAGACGACACGGCAGCGTCAAAGGAAACAACGGCGGAGRTTTCTGATAAAGCGTTCACCGTCCTAGTGCCGCCGTCAGGATATTTGCCGATTGTCGATCACCACTGTCTGTTCCGTCGCCACTTTCGCGAATCACGTTTCGCCCCTTATCCTCTGCCGCCGTTACACCATATTTTAGGTCCAGCTACGGTCTTCTCCGACATGTTCAAACATGCGTTTCCGTCTTCCGATGCAATGGCCACCAACCAGGCGGCCGCTGCCACTGCCGGATCCATCCCGGCACCGCCGCCGCCGGTCAGCGTCCCGTTCGCACTGCAATTCGGCCACCAACAGCCTCCCAGCTACTCAACTTTTACGCCAGACTACCAACATTTCCCGTACACGTTCTCGTCGATTACGCCACCCGCGTACAGCTGGGCCAACACCAACAGCACACAGGTCATGAAGTGCGTAACCATCACCACAACACACTTTGTTGTAGCAACGACAAGGCGTCATATAACTGCTGACTTTATATTTTTATTATATTGTCATTTCAGGTTCACWGGATCAAGTAATCCACAGCCTTTGGACACGTCCACATTCCATCTYAACAATTTTGGGCCCGTACCAAAACGCAAAATCGATTTGGACGCCGAGTAAGTGTTTTATGAAATATTTTAGCATGATCAAGGAACTAAATTCATTGTCATTGTCTAGAATTCTTTCACTTACTAGCGACTATATTTTTCATTGTTCTTCGTATGATAGAAAGTTGTGTATTTGTGTATAACTTGCATACAATATGTTTGAAATTAAAAGGAACAATAATTTTTTTCAGACTTCCACAGCCACCCAAAATGCGCATCACCGAAGAAAAAGTATCTGCAAGTTTACGGGACATGCAYATTAGTAGTGAGTTCAAACCTCACAATTACTGCGTCAGTAGTGCCGTCAGTGAAATGGATGTGAGTAGTTATTATTGAGTTTTGTAATAATGTGAACTATTGAAAACTTTTTTTTTAGATTGTGGAGAATATTCCTTGTCTCATGGAGACTGTCAACATTCCTGACACTGCCAAAACAGATTCTCAGACCACATTAGTCATGTGTGAAGAATTGCGTAAACTTCATAAAATTGAATCAATCATACCTCAACCACTACTCAAAGTGTATGGTGATATATTTATAATAGTTAATTTTTTGTATTAACGAAATGTATATTTGTCATATTATAGAGAAAGACCAAATAATGCAGTGGTTGTATGGAAAAAAAAATCTTTAATAGAATTAGTCCATTCATTATCTCAATATCAGGAACCTAAATCAACTGTTGTGATAACCGAAATCACTGATGAAGAAGAAAATGAAATTAACAGCAGTGACACAATGTGTGTTGAAGAAAATAAGTGAGTTTAACAATAATTGAACAGAAATTAATGGTTTGACAATTATTTTACTCTTTTCTGAACATATAATATTGATTTTTTAATTATGTTAAGAGGTTGCCATCAGTAGCGGATGCAGGGGGGGGGGTTCAATTGTATAAATACAATAAATAATTATTTCCAAATAACCGTAATTATTCTTATTTTTTCAACCCCCCCTCCCCCAAATTTTTTTCTGTGTCGTCTCTGATGTCAACACACAATTTGTTTTGACTCTCTGGCTCACGCTCAATATAGACAAAACACATTTATGGAGAATGGTTTTTTCTTTGTTTTTAAGTATATTAGAGTAAAATCACCCATTACAATAAAGATAGAGATTTTAAGGGAATGACATTCATATTATATTTTATTGTTATTTGATTTTGTACATGACTTTCAAAATAAACATAAAAGGTGGGCAAGTGGGTATCACTCTGATGTATAGTAGTGATGGAGAGTAGATCACTATAATGATTGTGTTGAATTTGAATGCWATGACTGGTATCATTATATACAAAAAATGATTCTGAACGGAGATGATTTGTTAGTCTAGGATATATTACATTATCCATATTTAAATTATATATATATATTTTTTTTTGATACAAGTAATTAATTTTTAAGTATGATTGCATAATATTTCCATACGAAAAGGTTAATCAATTTAAAAGTATTCATAACCATAGAATCTAAAATAAAATAAATATACATTTTATACGGTCAYAAAAAGTTTTCTATTTTGATTCTGGAGTTTTTTTTAAACTATACATCACAACAGTTGTATGAAATTTCAACTTCATAATTCTATGCAAATTTTTGAAATTTTGTAAACATTTTAACTTAAAATGCTTATAAGCAAAACTTGTGACTAACGATTTTTGATTTTATTTACTATGATAACTACAACTTATAATAAACCTTGTATTAAATTTTAAAGATTTTTTGATAACCAAATTTTTTTACAGGCATTTAAAAAAAACTTAGAAAGTCAAAAATTTCAACTGTATAAATAGCTTTAAATGTCAAAATAATTTGAAAATTTAAWTGTAAATAGATAACGCTAATATAAACATATTGTCAAAATTTCAAGTATTTACAGTGATTTGTTTTTGAGTTACAGCAAAATAAAATTGATTTTATCAAAAACTGATTATGCCTTTCCCGCAAATTCCTGTTTTTTTTTATTACTTTTAGGGTTTTTCCTGACGCTTTTGAAAACTACTGGAAATTTTTTACTTTTGACAACCCAAAGCACCAACTCAATGAATTTTTTTCAAAGAGAGGCTTAAGTCAAAAATTAAAATATTATTTCTACTCCCAAATGTGAAGACACTCTACAAAAAAAAAAAAAATACATCATTGTAAAATCAATACATTCCTTCTTTGTTCAGAATCTAAAAAACATTTAAATTATTTTGAGAAAATATTTAGACAAATCGATTTGTCATTCCCCCAAAATTATTTTCTATTTTTTTTGTTATGGGTTGTTTTACCCTAAGATTACTTAAAAACAGATAAAAGCGATTCTGCGTAAATGTGTTTGTTTTGTCTATGTTGAGTAAGGACTTGAGAAACAAATAGTGCACTGATATCCTCTTGACTGTAAAATTCTACTAGGCATGCTYATATAAAACTCAAACAAATACTATGATAGTTTTTTTTATATTTAAAACTCAATTACATTGTCAAAACTAACATCACAAAACAGTTGTTAGTTTGATGGTACACGTTTTGCCCTTTTACAATAAAGTATTATGATAAAATAATTAAGTATTACATTAATCATAATATTACAAAGCTACTATCAGATTTCATTGATATTTTAGTACTAAAGTTCTGAAGTAAATGTTTAATTTGTACAGGCTGTGTAGTGTATACACAAACACAATTAAAAATAAATTATAAAAATGATTTATTATTCTAATTTTTTTTATATAATGTAATACGTATAATAATTTTTAATACAAAAATGTTGCAGTTGCATCGCCTTTGATGATGTTAACATGGAGTTGTAATGGGACCTTGTTCTGGGTCTGACTCACGGTAGACGAGTTAACTTACTGCCAAATAAATAACATTTGAAAAAAAAAACAAACAATTAATATAAGTTTAAATGTATTATTTTTTAATTTTAAATAGTTGTAAGAAGAAAACATCTCTTTTTTGTTATTTTGTGTGATAATATTATATRCTGTAAACAAACATTATATTGTAAGATTAAGTACTCATTTTAATATATGTACATATATATTTTTTTCAAGAAAGGTTATCCTAAATAAAAATGAATGCGTGAAATGTTAGCATTAAAATGTGTTAGTTAACATAATATATGCATGGTTTAGGTTAAATTGATTGTTATTTTGGATTTTTTATCCTTCTAAATACATCTTGAAAGTATTGTTAAAAAAAGAAAACAGTGGCGTATGCAAAATCCTTTTGTTCATAGTGCCCTGTTTTAAGTACCAGGGAGAAATGTTTGACAAGCAATCAAATTAGTAAACCTTTTTATAAATAATTAATAATTTTATGTTAAGAATTATATTTTTGTTTTATACCTGTAATGACAACATTACAATTTGTAAATGATTAGGCGCTAAATCAAGGTGACACAACTTGAGCACAGATAAAATCATATTTTTATACTTTATTGACATAAAATAATAAAATAAAACTT